GAGAGAGAGAGAGAGAGAGAGAGAGAGAGAGAGAGAGAGAGAGAGAGAAATAGAAGCCTCAGAACCAGAATCCAAAGGCTTTAAATAATGCAAGAACTTTTATCCATCCATCAGTTGAAGAGAAAGGTCAATGAAAACAAGAATCTGCCCCAGACTTAGATCACATAAGAACTCGGGGTGCACCCCACTGTCTTCACTCCCCAGAAGTCATCTCTGCCCGACCACAGCCATTTCTCGTTCTAGAAGGGTCCCTATTCTTTCAGCAAAAGGACCAGCCTTAAAATTTTGGGTTGTTATGCCCATGCAGATATAAAAAATTAGCAATATCCCTAACAATAATGATTCAGAAAAAAACTATATAGAATAAATGATCATAATACAAAAGTAAATAAAACTGTAAGGTACATCCCTCCTATCTCAGTCTCACATTCGTGTGTGGATGTGACCAAGAGATTTCACATGTTCATACACACATATACACACGCAAACATGCAAGCACACATACAAGCACAACATACCCATGAAAATAGAAAGAAAATAAATGAATAAAGGTAGAAAGACAATATCATATTGTCTTAGTAAGGATTGGCAAAACACTTTTTTTTTAAAAAAAAAAGGCCTTGACCAAACACTTTTTAAAAAATCAACTTGTGGATGGAAGGATTCATCATATCTTAACAGCCTGTAGTCCATCGTTGAAGGAAGTCAGGGCAGGAACACAAAGCATGAAGTACTGCAATGGCCACAGGGAGACCCTGCTGACTGCTTGCTCAGCCCGGTTTCTTCCAGGAGCACCAGCCCAGTGGTGGCACCACTCACAGTTGCTTGGGTTTTTCCCACATCAATCATCAGTAAAGAAAATGCCCTGCAGGTGTGCCCCCAGGCCAATCTGGTGGGGACGTCTTCCCAATGAAGCTCACTCTCCTAAAAGGTCTCTAGCATGTGTCAATTTGATGTGCAGCTAACCAGCAGATGCTGAGATGGATTAAAGCATGTGCATGTAGAGATAATAAAACTTCCATGACATAGCAGATTCGGGTTTCTGGTTACTGTAATGCGTGAGACACAAAGAAAATGATATTGTGAGCAAGAAGCCAGAGCTTGAGAGCTGATAATGCAGGATGACAGGGTACCGGTCTGCGTTTGCTTTATTTAAGAACAGCTCAACAGAAACAATACACTGAATTTTCTTTTTCACTTACCAAATTTCTTCCGCTCAAGGGAAAAGAGGATGACCTCTTCCTCGTGGTGATATGGGAGCTGCCTGATGCCATACCTTACCTACAGTATGGAAGCCATATTGTACATCTGAAGGTGTCAACTAAAGACAGGGGGATGGCCATTCCTTTCCCAGATGTTGAGTTAATCGTCCAGAAAAGCTTCAGTCAGCAAACTAGTCACGTATGTTCTGATTCTTTTTAAAAAATATTTTCGCTGAAAGTTCCATACAATGTATTTTGATCATATTCATTCCTGTTCCTCTTCTTAACTCCTCTGAGATCCACCCCTACCTCTATATGCCCTAACTTTGTGTCTTTTTTTAAATTTAATAATCCATAGACTCCCAATTTGTGATGTTCATATACTTCTGGGTATGGGGCCGTTGGCGAAAGCATGGTTTGCCTACAGGTGGAGATGGTCATACCTCATGACCATGCTGACTTCACAGCAGAGATGCAAGGCTGATTCAATACGCAAGTTAGTGTGTACATGTAAAACAACACGCAAACACACTTAGGATGGAAACGACATGATTCAACATGGTCAATAGACCCAGAAAAGGCCTTTAAAATGTCCAACAATCACTTCATGATAAAAGCCCTGAAAAAACTAGCAACAGAAGTAATATACTTCATAACAAACGCTATGCTAAGTGGAGAAAGCCTGAAAACATTTTCTCCAAAGTCAGGAATGAAGCAAAATGTGCCCACTCTCATGGAAATGTTGTTTTAAAAAGTCCTTGAAGTCTTATTCAAGAAGTGGAAATTTCTCTGGAATAAGTAATCTACAGCAATGAGAGTAGAAGAGAGATTTTGCTGGTGGACCAAAGACGGCATAGCTCCTGGAAGGCTTGGATCCAGGTCCAGTTGGTGTTCTGATTTTATACTCTAAAACAGTAACGTAGGGGAGGCAACAAAGCAAGGTTTTAAAGAAACTATGTGACAACTGGCAGATTCTTAAGGACAACAGCCCATTGTTTCAGCTCTTTCTTTCTTTCTTTCTTTCTTTCTTTCTTTCTTTCTTTCTTTCTTTCTTTCTTTCTTCCTTTCTTCTACAAGTGGTATAATGCCTTTTATTTCAAAGCCTGTCACAAATGACATGCTTTCTGTAGCCAGGCCACATCACCTAAATCTTTCCAAAATATCGAGACTGTGGGGGGCATCTCATCCAAACCACCATCGATCCTGACTTTTAATATTTACAGTATGTAAATAAAGGGATGGGAGAAGAATTACAAACTATGAGGCTAGATAGGAGAACGTTATCAAGGACGTACAGAAGGATCAGGAAAGCACAAAGATGCACATGACAGTAAGGGGGCTGCTGCAGATGGGAGGGAGAAGAGGGAGGAAGAGTGTCTGGGAGAAGAGGGGAGGAGAAACAACAAAAACAGAGTCAGTTTTGCTTGAAAAATACCACGATAGAACTGCTACACTGTATGCTAGTATAAGCTAGATTCCAGACTTGGTTGTGACAACAGAAACATTCAGGAGGAGCAAGAGTTAGGATCCTGATAGTTAGGAGAACATTCTAGTGTTTCACTTCAGAAACCAAGGCCAAAGAGAAGGGGATGGACATCTCTCCATGGACACTTGTGTTTGGTACCTTTTGGTGCCATCCACTCCCACCGCAAGTATCCAGACAGGATAGTGCGGTGCCCAGCAATTCACCCTTCATCACTAACAGACGGGCAAGAATTAGATGACGGTAGAGGTAGACCATAATGTATTTCAATCTCATCTCCAAAACAGAGTTTTTGTCTTTACATTTTTAACTTTTTTTGAACAAATCCTAACTTTATATGTTTACAGAGCATACTGTGATGACTTGATATCAGTTTACAATGTCAAATGGTTAATTCAAGTCAATTAGCACATCCAACACCTTGCTTACCTGTGATGTTTTAAAAAAAATATGTATATGCATATGTGTGTGTATGTACATGTAAGTAGAGTGACCACAAAGGGCAGAGGAAGGCACCTGACATGGTTGCCATGGTGCCAGCCACCCGCCATTGTTGCTGAGGACTGAACCAGGGTCTTCTGCAAAAAACAGCACTTGCTCTTAGCTACCAAGCCATCTTCTCAGCCCCCGCTATTTTTTGTTGGTTTGTTTTTGTTGTTTTAATGATAAGAGTGCATGATCTCATGTATATAGAGAGTCTAAAAAATTGGAGCTCCTAGACACAGGGTGGAGTGCTGGTTCCAGAGTCTGCAGGGAAGAAGCAGAGAGGAGGACAGTGGGACTGTTGATCAAAGGGTACAGGCTTTAGACAGACGGGAGGAATAGGTTTTGAGATCTATTGCACAGCAGAGTGTGCGGCTTCAGTAGTAAATAATGTAGTGTGCATTGCAAAATGACTACAAGAGTAAACTCCAAATGCCTTCTGTTTGTACCTTTTGTTCCCTAATAGTTTCTTAGACTGGAAGCGACCCTCAGCTATAAATGGGAAGAGTAGAAAAGGAATATGCTAAAATGTCTCCCAGCTTATTAGAGAGATTTTTTTAATTAATTAATTTATTTATTTATAAAAATTTCCACTTCCTCCCCTATTTCCCCATACCCTCCCATTCCCCCCACTCCCTCTCCAGTCCTAAGAGCAGTCAGGGTATCCTGCCCTGTGGGAAGTTCAAGTTCCTCCTCCCTCCCTCCAGGTCCAGGAAGGTGAGCATCCAAACAGACTAGGATCCCAAAAACCCAGTACATGCAGACGAAACAAGACCCAGTGCCATTGTCAATGACTTCTCAGTCAGCCCCCATGTCAGCCACATTCAGGGAATCCGGTTTGATCACATGCTCGTTCAGTCCCAGTCCAGCTGGTCTTGGTGAGCTCTCATTAGATCAGTCTCCTTGCATCAGTGGGTGAATGCACCCTTCACAGTCCTGACTTCCTTTTTCATGTTCTCCCTCCTTCTGCTCCTCATTTGGACCTTGGGGGGCTCAGTCCAGTGCGCCAATGTGGGTCTCCGTCTCTATCTCCATCCATTGACGAATGAAGGTTCCCTCTGGTCCTGCCTTCCTTGCTCACGTTCTCCCTCCTTCTGCTTCTCATTTGGACCTAGGGAGTTAAGTCCAGTGTTCCAATATGTGTCTCTGTCTCTATCTCCATCCATCGTCAGATGAAGGTTCTGTGGTGATATGCAAAATATTCAACAGTATGGTTATGGGCCAAGGCCAGTTCAGGCACCCTCTCCTCTGCTGCCCAGGGAACAATCTGGAGACCTCTCCTTGGGCCAGGGAACCCCTCCAGAATCAAGTCTCTTGCAAACCCTAAAATGGCTCCCTTAGTTGAGATATATACTTCCCTGCTCCCATAACCATCCTTCCTCCCTCCCCCCATCCCATTCCCCCAAGCCATCCCCCATCCTCACACTCTCCCTTCTCTCTAATCATCTCCCCTTACTTCCACCCTATCCCCCCATGCACCCAAGTTTGCCTGGCAATCTTGTCTACTTCCAATATCCAGGAGGATAACTATATGATTTTCTTCAGGTTCACCTTCTTATTTAGCTTCTCTAGGATCACAAATTATAGACTCAAAGACCTTTAACTATGGCTAGAATTCACTTATGAGTGAGTACATACCATATTCCTCTTTTTGGGTCTGGGTTACCTCACTCAGTAAAGCGTTTTCTATTTCCATCCATTTGCATGCAAAATTCAAGATGACATTGTTTTTTACCGCTGAGTAAAACTCTAATGTGTATATGTTCCACACCTTCTTTAACCATTCTTCTATTGAGGGGCACCTAGGTTGTTTCCATGTTCTGGCTATTACAAATAGTGCAGCTATGAACATAGTTGAACAAATACTTTTGTAGTATGATAGGACATCTCTTGGGTATATTCCCAAGAGTGGAATTGCTGGGTCCTGAGGGAGGTTGACTCCCAGTTTCCTGAGAAACCGCCACACTGATTTCCACAGTGGCTGCACAAGTTTGCATTCCCACCAACAATGGATGAGTGTTCCCCTCATTCCACATCCTCTCCAGCATAGGCTATCATTGGTGGTTTTGAGTTTACTATTCTGACAGGTGTAAGATGGTATCTCAAAGTGGTTTTGATTTGCATTTCCCTGATCTCTAAGGAGGTTGAGCATGACCTTAAGTGTCTTTTGGCCATTCGAAGTTCATCTGTTGAGAATTCTCTGTTCAGTTCAGTACCCCATTTTTTAATTGGGTTAATTAGAGTTTTAGTGTCTAATTTCTTGAGTTCTTTGTATATTTTGGAGATCAGACCTTTGTCTGGTGAGGGTTTGGTGAAGATCTTCTCCCAGTTGGAAGGTAGCCTTTTTGTCTTACTGACAGTGTCCTTTGCTTTACAGAAGCTTCTCAATTTCAGGAGTTCCCATTTACTCATTGATTCTCTTATTGTCTGTGCTACTGGGGTTCTACTTAGGAAGTGGTCTCCTGTGCCTATATCTTGTAGACTACTTCCCACTTTCTCTTCTATCATGTTCCAAGTTGTCAGATTAATGTTGATGTTTTTAAACCATTTGGACTTGAGTTTTGTGCATGGTGATAGATATGGATCTACTTTCATTCTTCTACAGGCTGACATCCAGTTATGCCAGCACCATTTGCTAAAGATGCTTTCCTTCTTCCATTGTATACCTTTAGCTCCCTTGTTGAAAATCAGGTGTTCATAGGTTTGTGGGTTAATATCCGGGTCTTCTATTCGATTCTATAGGTCGACTTCTCTGTTCTTATGCTTCAGCTATTTCTCTAGATCATTCTCCTCCAGGTAGCAAGTGAAATCATATAGCGGCGTCCAAGCCAACATGGTGCTGGAGAAGGAGCTGAGAGTCCTACCTCTTGATATGCAGGCAATAGAAAATGGTATGAGATTCTGGGTGTGGCTGAGCATATATGAGACCTCCAAGGCCTGCTTCCACAGTGACACACTTCCAGCAATGAGACCACACCTACTCCAACAAGGTCATACCTCTAATAATGCCACTCCCTTGGGTGCTGTTTTCTTTCAAACCACCACAGACTCTAAGCTGCCGAAACAATGCTAAGCAGAAAGAGCTATGCTGAAAACAGCCAACACTTGATCTCAAACTCTACTACAAAGCCATAGTACCAAGAAGGGAATGGCACTGGCATAAAATGTGTAGACCAATAGGAGGAGGACCTAGAGATCTATGCAGCTACACGCACCCAAGGTTTTATACAAAGGTGCCAAAAAACATGTATTATGAAAAAGCCAACCTGTTCACCAAATTGTGCTAGGAAACTGAATAGCTGCATGCAGAAGAAGGAAATTAGATCTGTATCTCTTACCTTGCAAAAAATAAGGTGAAATATGGATCAAAGTTTGAATATAAGATAAAAAGTATGAGACTTGTAGAGGAAAACATGAATTCTGTGAAGTTTTCCTGGATATTGACAAATTCTCCTACATTGTATAATTTTGCATTTTCACTGCTACATGAAAGAGTACATATTCCCCATAGTCTTACCAAGCATAAAAAAATTTAATCTATATGAAAAACACCCAACTTGGTATATTTTGGTGTCAGTTTTTGTACACTGTGAGTGAGCTTACTTTCCTGTTCATTCATGGGGCATTTGCTATATCCTTTGTTAATTCATAAGATATTTGCTATATTCTCTGCTTGTTCGTGAAGCATTTTTCTCTGTTCATTTATGAAATGTCTGTTATATGTAACAGGCCTTCTTTTGGGCGCCAACTAGTTCCCAAATCATGACATGGAGACTCGTTAGTTATGAATGCTCAGCCTTATCTTATGTTTGTCTCTAGCAGCTATAATTTAATTTAACTTGTTTCTCTTCATCTACATTTTACCTTGGGGACTTTTTACCTTGCTTTCATTCTGTATGTTCTATTTTCCTGTTTTTCATATCTGGCTGCCTCACAACTGCCTGGCTGGCTGACCCCAGGAATTTCCCAGTTTCCCTCTTTCTCCTGCTTCTTCTCTTCTCTTCTCTTCTCTTCTCTTCTCTTCTCTTCTCTTCTCTTCTCTTCTCTTCTCTTCTCTTCTCTTCTCTTCTCCTCTCCTCTCCTCTCCTCTCCTCTCCTCTCCTCTCCTCTCCTCTCCTCTCCTCTCCTCTCCTCTCCTCTTTTCCTCTCCTTTCCTCTCTTCCCCTCCCCTCCCCTTCTCTCTCTCTCTTTCTTCTCCCTCCTCCTCCTCCTCCTCCTCCTCCTCCTTCTCCTCCTCCTCCTTCTTCTTCTTCTTCTTCTCGGAGCCTAGATTCCTCCTTCTACTTATTCTCTCTGCTGCCAGCCCTGCATATCCCTCTATTACCTAGCTATTGGCTGTTTAGCTTTTAATGAGACCTCTGGTCATTCATGGGAGTATTTGTTATATCCTCTGTCCATTCGTGGGGTACTTGTTATATTCTCTGTCCATTCATGGAGCATTTGTTATATCCTCTGTTCATTCATGGGGTATTTGTTATTCCCTCTCTCATTCGTGGAGCATTTGTTATGTCCTCTTCATTCATGAAACATCTGTTATAGTCTCTGTTCATTCATAGAATGTTTATTATATCCTCTGTTTATTCGTGGAGCATTTGTTATATCCTCTGTTCATTCGTGGAGCATTTGTTATTTTTTCATACAACTTGTCTATTCCTTCTTACATTGAATTTTTCTCATATATTAGGAACATGTATGTGTTAATCATATTAGAAGGATTCACTTTTTCTGCCCAATTACTATACCATTATAGACCTTTTTGGCCATTTTTGATTTGATTCGGTGCAGGTGCACGTGTGTGTGTGTGTGTGTGTGTGTGTGTGTGTGTGTGTGTGTGCGCGCATGTGAGCATGTGTGTGTGGCTTTGCTTTGGTTTTGGTTTTGTCTGTTTTGAAAGAGTGTTTCACTGTGCCTCTCAGACTACTATTCTTGAACTCCCCAGTCTACCTAGAGCCCAGATTACAGGCATAGTCTACTTTTAACTAGATTTTTCAAAGTCAGTTCATCAAACTGCATCTTTTATTTTCTTAGCTTTGGGTCTTTGCTTCTCACCTTGCTTGGGAAGAGTCATTTGGTTAATCAAGAATGTACAAGTACCATTTGGTTAATCATGAATGTATCTGCTACCATTACACTGTATTTTAAAATACAAACAAGGAACAGACATTGTCGGACTTTTTTTTCAGGATGTTGTCTGTATTCCAAAATTGCAAACAGACTGAAAGGAGGAGGCACCCTTATTTCCCACAACATAGGAAAATGGAGATCCATCCTGGTTGATCAGTAGCTAACAAGTGGACAGATCTCTCATCCTGGTCTGTTGATAGCTAACAAGTGGAGCTTTCTCCTGTCCTGGTCGATAGCTAACAAGTGGAGATCGCTCTCATCCTGGCCGGTTGATAGCTAACAAAGGGTTTCAGAAGTCTCAGTTGCAGCCTCTGTATGGTGGTTTGTAATCCTGGAAATTGGGCTGAGGCTGTAGGGTCAGGAGTTTGAGACAAGTCTGGTGTTCTCTTCACCAACATTTTATCATAAAATATTTGAAAAAAAATTAAAGAGTGAACACATATGACTGGTTCCCCTTAAATGTAACTACTATTTTGTAATGTTTACTTTACTATGGATCTCTTTATGTATCCGTCCTCTACCCACCCTCCAGTCCATCTTACTTACATACATTTCTGAAGAAGGGAAAGGTGTACATAGATACTGCCTTGAACGTTTCAGGATATGCATTGGTAACTGGAGTCCCCTGCTGTCTTACAGAGTTGTTTTTAATGGAATTAGCAAGGATTAGGAAGGATAATTAGCAAGATATAATTGTAGTAATCAATGAACTTGACAAGAACTTTGCACAACCCCAATCTCTGTCAATAGGTAGACTATCACCACCACCCCAGGCACCTGTCATGTAAACACCTACCTGATTCTTTCCAGCATAAATTTATTTACCACATGTTACAACAGTGGCTCCCATTATGTGTGTGTGTTGTTGCCCTCATATAGCTAGTTTTTGAGATATGACTGTATCATGATACGTGTCAGCCCCATATCCCTACACTACCACAGAATTGTCTCAGGATGCTTGAGATGTGTGTAACCACTAAAACATGTATAACTGCTAGAGTACAGAGACCGTTCAAAGTATCTTATAAGTATCTGTAGATATGGAAATACACAACTTGATAGACAGTCTCTTCAGAAAGTTACTTCTGTGACATGCCTGCAGGCACATACATCTGAGGATGAACATCCAGGGTCTTTGGTTGAGGCTGGGGACAGGGAAATAAGGAAGATGTCAATTTGTATGTTTGTTTGTTCTTAAAAACATTTAGGCCTTTGATTGTTTTAAATGTCTCTTCACTAACTTTATTTCTAACATGAGCTTGAAGTGTCTCAATGTCTCAGCTTTTTCAGGGACCAATTGTCAGATACCAAAGCCTACAAGAAGACTGCAGGCTGTAGAAGGACCAATCAAAGGAAGCCTTCAGGCTCTTGCTTATCACTAGTGAAATAACTGTGATGTAACTCCCAAAAAAATTACAAGGCTTGTCTTAAAGAATTTGAAAATTGTCTATTGGATCATTTTAATATAGAAAAGATATTGTTTTTCTCATATTGAAGCAAATGTCAGCGTAGCACTGACTGAACTTGGACTGCATTGGTAGTTTCAATAAAAGATTTTATTATTAGATTAAAGGGCTTTGAAATTAATGCACACAATTCTCCATATTTTGGAGAGGGATTCTAGCCAACCTCTTCCAACTCTGTCATTGGAACCAGGTTTGGACATATGTATATGCTGTATGAAACATTGTGTGTAGCAAATAATAGCAGAAAGATGAGTGCACAGTGAGTTGGAACCGAGGCACTTGTCAAGCAGTTGCACAGGTGACAAAGAATTGAAAAGTGATCACTTTAAATTAGATGATAAATTAATAAAGTCCAACAGACGCGGGTCTGGGGAAATGACTAAATGGATAAAGTCTTGCGCGTCCCCTCCACAACATTTTGAGATTGCTCGGTAATTTACACTTCATCTAAGTACTTTAAATTCTCATACATATTTCATATCACAGACACCATATTTAATTCTCTATTCCAAGAACCTAAGATGTTCAGAAAATATCGAAGGCAAGATAACTGCAAAGAACATCATAACTTACTGGCAATACATAGAAAAGACTTCTGCAAATATGGGCTTGCCGAGTGAAAGACTGGCATGTTAGTGGAATCAGCTAATGTGGACTGTTTTTTTTTTCTCCAAGAAGACTGAATGTAAAAAGAACTAGAAATACTTTAATGGTTGGTAAAGCAGAATAAGGCCAAGTCAAAAGGGGCCAGAAGAGAAGGGGAGAATGTTTTTGTTGTTTTAAGGAATCATCTAAGCTAAAATTTTTTAATGCTAAAGGCAATGGGGGTAGTAAATTCATGCTCAATGACTTTGAACATATTACTACGCTGCTTTAAGTTGATTACAATTGCAGTGGGCATATGTAACATTGGACTTAGGCTGGCTTTGCATTCCCACCAGTCTACCTCTGTGTCCTTTTTGTTTTTTTCTTCAGAATCCTGCTGTTGACGTTGAGGTGAACTGCATTGATTTGTTTCAAACAGAGGGATACAATTTGATAGCTTGTGGAACCATAAATGGCATGATTATCTTATGGAATTTTGTAACAGCTACTGTCAAAGAAATGTAAGTGTTGACTTTGCCCTAAATAATAGGAGTTATACTGTATAAGAGTCTAAATAGCAAGTAATGCCTTCAAGGAAGGACTTTCCCAGAGGTTATGTTCATAAGTACACTGTGTTCTGAGAGTCTACATTTCATAATTACACACAAAAAAATACCTTAAGCATTTGTATACCCAAAAGCTTTCTCCTTTGCATAAATATATGATCTTTCCATGTTTAAATTTATGACTTCAATAAATGCTTTTAATTTTTTAAATTTTATTTTATGCATATGGATGTTTTACCTGGGGCTAGAAGAGAACATTGAATCCCCTGAAATGGTTGTGAGTCATCCTGTCGATACTAGCAAGCATACCTGGGTCTTCCAGAAGAGCAGCCAGTCCTCTTAATCACGGAGCCCTCTCAATCACGGAGCCCTCTCTCTATCCCCAACAAATATTTAAAATGTAACTTGACACACTAATAGTCACAAGTTTTAGTACACATATCCAATCATCTACTAGCATTTCCCATCTGATCATTTGCCATTTACATCAAGCTTCACAATTCATGACCTGCCCCTCCATCAAGCTTCTCCTCCCTCTGTATTCCTAGTGCCCCAATGTTTACTCATTTAATAAATACAAATGTTGAAAGGCAAGCTAGAGGGCTTTCCCTTCTCCTTCACATCGGCATATCTAGTTAATCACATGGTGACTGTAGCAAGGGCCAATGTCACAAGTGCATCTTGGTTCTCAACCAGTTCTGTTGAGACGCTCTGGACCATGACTGGAGTGTTTACTCTCCCCAGTTAACCACCTCTAAGTGTTCTTGACATTGGTTGAAAGGAACTAACATAATGTGTCATCTGTATGGCTGAACTGTAATAGGCTGTCTACACTTGTGTAGTTAAAAGGTGTGAATTGGGACCTTGTATGGGCACCCTTTAATCACGGGACTTATTTGCAGAAACAAAATGGTCAATAATCTTAATAAACCAAAATAAAATCAAGTTTAGCTTGGAAAGTAAAATGAAAAACAATGGAAGATGAAAAGGGAAAAGAGAAAAACACATAAGAAATCTCCACCTCTAGTTAGAAGGCACTCTCCACTACTGCTGTACCTGAACCATGCCCCTTTCCAACAAAGGTTGGCCCCATCCTAACATTCAGTGCTTGTCCTTGGGTTTTTTTTCTGTATTGTATACTTGTCATCTGATACGTGTGTCAACACACATTGTACAGTTCATCACATTCTTATAAACAGTTCTCACACTGAAGGTATCAGTTTGTGTCTGACTCTTGAAAAGAAGATCAATGAAAAACATCTGTGCTGATGCCACCATAAAAAGGGGTCAGCTGTCCTGAGCTATTTCCAATTTTAAGGTAGCAGTCCTTCTTGCTTAAGAACCAGGCATTTTGCCAAGGGATACATGCAAAGCAAGTATTCAATAAAAGAAAGCAACTATGGTAGGTTATACATCAAGTCCCTTTTCTATAGGCAGATGACTATTTTAAAACAGTAGGGTCAGCAGGGCAGTGGTGGTCCATGCCTTTAATCCCAGCACTCGGGAGGTAGAGGCAGGAGGATCTCTGTGAGTTCGAGGCCAGTCTGGTCTATAAGAGCTAGTTCCAGGACAGGCTCCAAAGCTCCAGAGAAACTCTGTCTTGAAAAAAAAACAGTAGGGTCCTGGGAGATAGTTCAGTGAGGAAAGGACTTGCATTGCTAGCACAAAGATGTGAGTTTGATCCCTGAACCTAAGGGTGTAAAAGCCAGGTGACAGTCATGACACATACTCATAGTTCCAGCACCGGTGACGTAAGAAAAAGTGGATTCCTGGGGCTTGCTAGTTACCAGCCATCGAAGCCTACTTGACAAGTTCTAGGCCAATGAAAGATACTGTGACACTATCAGTGGGTCCTGTACCAGGGAAACAACACAGAGGTTGATCTTTGGCCACTGGACATCTACATACACACATATACATAGAACATTTTTCTAAAATTTACAATTCCTGGAGTCTTTTGGAAAAGAAAGACACAACTTATTTCAGAACTGTGTAAAGTAATATATTCCCAGCTTTACCAGTTACAAAAGTGAACATTATTCCTATATTTATGGTAGAGGTCATTTCCACTATATTATTTATTAAGTATTTTTATATGGATCAGTGTTATGTCTGTATGTATATCTGCGTGCCACCTGTGTGTCTAGTGCCTACAGAAGCCAGAAGACAGTGTCGGGGCCCCTAGAACTAGAGTTACAGTCAGTTGTGAGCTGCCATGTGTGTGCTAGCAGTTGAACCCAGGTCCATTACAAGAACAACCAGTGCACTTAACCATTGAGCCATCCCTCCAACCTGCCATTTCTTAATACACTTCATTTTGTCTGACTCCTTCACCAAAGAGAAAGAGCCCTTCCACTTCAAGAGCATCATGATTTGGGGGTTCAAACTTAATAATGTTTCTTGCTAATTAAAAATGTCTTTCATGATTGATTGATGATCAAATATACCTAAAAGTATTGAGCTAAAAAAGTAATCAAATTCTTTTTTGATCTTGGTCCCATCCATACAAGACTTCTGCACCATTATGTTAATCTCCTTTTCTGCTATTGTAACAAATCTCTAGGACAATAAAGGCAAAGGTTTGTTTTGAGTCATGTTTTCAGAGGTTCAAGTGACCAATTGACCCCATTGCTTTGGGCCTGTGAGATCAGATCAGATCAGAATAGGAATGAGGGATACAGCATCTCCTAGTGAGAAAGTAAAAAAGAAAGAGAGAGTACCTGGTCTCTCAAGAACTGCTTTCCAAAGAACTAGAAAACTTCCCACTACACCCCATTCCTTAAAAGTTCAACACTTTCCAAGGGCACTGATCTGGGGAGCAAGCCTTTAAAATATGGGTCCTTGGAGGATGTTCCAGATCCAAATTTTAGCAATCATCCATCACCTCAAATAGGCAGATATAGTTTTCCTTAAATCAAAGGGGCATGTTGCTAAGGAATGTAAAGTGATAGTTAAGAGATACAGCATAGAGTGGAATGTGGGTAGTGAAAGACTATTATTGTTCTATTCCCAAGACACTACCTGGAAAGTCCCATTGGATCTGGGTCCCTGACAAACAAGAGCAGCGGGAGCAGGGTAATCTCTGGATTATCTGCTCTTGTCCACTTAGTTTTATGATCCTGTGGTTAGGTACCACATTGCACCAAAATCTATGCTTTTATATGGTCAGAGTAGAATTCTGCTGTTTAAACTGTACAAGACATCCAAATGGTCCGTCTACAGGCTGCAACACTCTAACCTATAGATAGGAAATCTGTCCAGTTAATTGGATTAAAGACTTGTAGCTCATCTGATAACCATGTGATTCTGCAAAGCCTTAATAAAGAGGCAATTCTGGACTAAGCCCACTCCCAGGCTTTCACTTTCTGTGCAATGATAACATTTTTTGTTTGTTTTTTGAGACAGGGTTTCCCTGTGTAGCCCTGGCTGTCCTGGAACTCGCCCGCCCTGTCGACCAGGTTGGCCTTGAACTCATAGAGATCCACCCACCTCTGCCTCTACCTCTCAAGAGCTGGGATTTACTGTGTGTGCCACCGCCACTAGATCTGCATGGGAATTAGGACAGTATGAGGCGAGTTTCACAGTTCCTACCATTCACTAGGCAAGGACATGCCTGTTTTCAGATACCGGCCCGAGGACTGTTTCTCTACGGACCCTGAGTTGGATCCCAAACGATTCCGGATTAATGACATAATGTTCCTCTTCCGACCTCCTGACTGTGTAAGGTAACTCAGACCCTCGTGGTCCCATAGTGCTATCTGGAACTCAGGTAGGTGACATGAGATGCCCATATCCCAGGATTAAGGAAGGGTCAGCTGAAGGAAAATGACCCCTTTGTTTCAACTTTCCTCACTGTCACAGTGTTTAGGGGTCTGACATGTTGGTGGGGTAGACCCTTACCATGTCAGCCTGACTGTGTAGACCCTTAGTACCTGTGTCTCACTATGTAGACCCTTACCAGGTTAGCCTCACTGTGTAGACACTTACCACGTCATCACACTGTGTAAACCCTTACCATGTCACCCTCGGATGTCCCTTTACAACAGAAGTAGAAATGGGAAATGCTCATTGGATCTGACTTTTAGCAAACCCTAACACAGTCACCATAGGTGTGCAGCAAATTTAGGTCTTGGGGGGAACAAACTGAAAAGGTATTGCAGATTTCATATGCTATCTAGTATAACTGGGGAATCTCCTTCCACTCCATCAAGAGCAGAGCATTATTTGGTAAATTACTAGTATGCTTCTTTTCTATTTTGTACTTGTATTTGCTTTAGGAGTCTGTACTTATAAGCAACAGTGTTAAACAAATTTCTAGAGGGAAATTAAAGGTTTCTGTGCTGTAGTTAGGGTTCACTTGTTGGTGAGTAGGGGTCTAGCACCTTCCCTATATGTTGTCTTAAAATTACATCAAAAGTCTTTGGAGAATATTATCAGGGCCTGTTCTTTGTACATAGACTACTTTTCAGCCCATGGCCACAAAACATAGAAGAGACAGGATCAATCAAGCCAGAAGAAAAGAAACAAAACAAAAACAGAAACATAGGGCAAGAAGTTAACCAGGTTTGTCTGCACCTGCTGCCATCCACCCCTGCACTTCAGTTTCTGAACCTCAGTGGCTCAGTCTAGTGTTAAAGGTGAGGCAAGCCCGGCCTGGGGAGATGATGCTGAGGCCCCCAGCATTCTCCTGTAACACCACACTAGGGAGCATTTTTTTTACTGACCTCATGCATGAGTGGGATACTTCCAGGGGTGAGAAGGAAATAACCTCCTGAAACTGGAGCAGAGGGCACTCCGAGTTCTGTGGGTTTTCTGAACCTTCTGTCCTGTGTCTCCTCCATCCCTGTATAGGAGATCAAGTCAGGATTCCATCTGCTCGTCAACCCAATGTGACTCAAGCAAGGGTCCACAGAGCAGCAAGGTAAGCGTGCGCCAGAGAAAGCATCTTCAGTTCACAACTAGTGGCTCTTGAGGTACATCTGTGTGTACAGGCATAATCTTTGTTTTCTCTAAAAATCAATGACTACATTGCTTTTCTTTTCTTTTCAAAGTCTTCACATGTGTGAACAACCGATGCATGATCAATGATAAATAAACGAATCAATAAGTTACACCTATTGTTTTTATGCTTGTAAAATTACCCAGTATTTTGAGCTTCTCTTCCCGGCTCTCATATTTCACATATGGTATAAGTAGATCACAGCCCATAATATAAAGCAGTGGCCTTCTGTCCTCTCAGTTCTAATTTTGCATATTTTTGCAGAGTGTTTCTCTAATCAGAATTTATTAAGTCAAATTTTCATGCAAAAGTTATTTTGAAAGCGCTAGTGTGGTGGAGAGAAAACAACACAGATAGATAGAAAAGTCAGGCAGAGCCATGCCTAAATCTGAGTCCTCTGCACACTGCCTGATTTCTAGCTTTGTCAGTAAAGCTGAGCTTCTGCTCCCTTATGGGTAAGATCGGGGGAATAAAGACACCTGTGTGGTTGTCAGTAGAATTAGAGACAGCGCCCACCAAAAATTGGGCATGTGCCATGGGTTTAACCAGTCACGAGTGCAAGCCACCAACCAGGAAATGCCGTTGTTTTATAGCTCTTCTATTTATGACTATGAAAATCTCTGCAATACCTTATTGCAAAGAAATAATCGTAAAATGACTTTTAACATTAGTACTTAAGAATGACAACTCAGCTCTGCAGAAGCTGCCCATCTAGTAGGTCCCATTCCCTTGCAATATTACAGAAACGTTTTCTCTCTTCTCCATTCAGGGAAGCAAACAAAGTATCCATGACACAGAGGTCAAAGGTCAGTATCAGCTCGGTCCTTTAGAACAAAGCAGCTGATTCTGTCTGTGTTTTGCTTTGTGGGACTGGGGATCATGCTTGGGACCTCACACAAGTTGGGCCAGCGCTCTAGCACGGAGTTACAGTCCAGACTAGCTCTTCGGCAACAGCGACTTTGTGTGATAGAATATTCCCAATGTGCCCTCTCTGTAGCTGAATACTGAAATGTTTGGGGTCTAGATAATCTAACACCATGGTTCTTAACTTTCCTAACACTGTAACCCTTTAATACAGTTCCTCATGCTGTGGTGACCCCCCAACCATAAAATTATTTTGTTGCTACTTCATGATTATAAATTTGCTACTGTTATGAATCGCAATGTAAATATCTGACAGGCAGGAAGGATATCTAATGTGTGACCCCCAAAGATTGGTCTAATGGGAAGAATATTAAAATGACACCTTTTAAGGGGCTCAATGGGAGAGACTGAGAGGGGATAAGAAGGAGTAATACAAATACATGTAACTAATATATATGCTACACATAGGTGAGATTTTCATAATAAGACCTGTTATCATCGATAGTTAATATATGCTAATTAAAAAGGACGGCATGTCCAGAAACATTCTCAGCATGAACAAAAACAAATGATGCCTTTTATGCTAACTCGAGGTTTTTAAATTCTAAAATATTACTGAACTTCTTAGTGTCCAATGCATTTTGCTAAAAATTTATGCTAGTTTTATAAAATATTCTAGATGTTTTAAAAATTTTATAATGTTTAGCCACCACACACAGAACTTTCTAGAGTTCTTTTACATTAGAAACCCAAATAAGTCTTTTATATTTTTCCAGTCATCCAGGATACCATTCTACAATTGCTTTTCTATTTTCTTCCTGTGAATTCTCTTAAGTTAAAGAAAAAAATTTGAGAAAAATCCCATATTTCTCTTTTCCTACCCGTCTCTTCTTTGGTGTTCGGTAAAACTTGAAACCCCAAGGATTAGAAATACCAACAGAGCTCATGAGTTTCTCTACCAGGTGAGCAAGCAGACACGGTGGGAGAGCAGCAGCCGGGGAGCAAAAAACAGCCCACCCCTACTAGCTCCGCGGAGACACAGCCTCCCATCCTGGTCACGGCCCATGAGGATGGGCATCTCCGCCTGTGGACGCTGGAGGTAATGAAGTTTGGTCTTGACTGACACTCAGAAGGAATGGGATGACAAAGTGGGTATCTATGCGCTGCAGCCCTCTTCCTCCTGGCATCCACTTCAAACGTTCCTCTATTCTAGCCAAACAGATGGTTTGTCAGCTCGCTCACTGGCTACTGCCAAGCTATACACCAGGTCAGCTTTACTACTCAGGCATTAGATCTTCAAAACTGAGAAGAGTTTCAAAGCTTTCGAACTGAGCTGTGAAGTCATGATAATATTTTATTGGATATTTAAATGAATGTCCTCAGTGATGACATGAAATGATCTAAGGGGCTAGGAGATGGTTTAGTCAATAAAGTACTGGAGACCTGAGTTCAACCCTTGGAATCCACATCAAAAATCTAAGCACAGTAGAGCATTCCTATAATCCCGGTGCTGGGGAGGATGGATCAACAGATCCTGGGGCTTGCTGGCAGGTCCTTCTAGCCTAGCTGGCCAGCTACAGGCAAGGGGGAGAGCTTGTCCCAAAATAAGGTGCATGGTGTTCCTGAGGAGCGACACCTACACACACACCTACACATTCACATTTCCATGCCATAAAACAGAATATAAGAATACTGACACATAGTATATAAAATACTTTTTGTTATCTTTATTTATCTTTGTGTGTGTGCGCATGTGTGTTTATGTATATCTGTGTGTGCATGTGGGTGCATACATGTCATAGCAGTAATGAAAAAGTCAGAAGGAAACTTGTGATAGTCATTTTTTTCACCATGTAGGTCCCAAGGATCAAATGTAGGTTGCCAGGATAGGCAGTAAGCCCCTTTACTGGCTGAATCCTAATATAAAACTTTAATGATATAAATTATTGAAAGATGGTATTGCATCACTCGGAGTGTTCTTAAATTTTTTACTGTGAAAACAGAAGTTTTAATTTACCATGAGATTTCAAGTGTTTTTAATGGAAGGTGGGTATTCCAAATTAAAAGTACAAACTAGGGACCAGCAAGATGGCTCAGTGGGTAAAAAATAAGTTGCCACATAAGCTCCAAAACCCAAGTTCAATCCCAGAATCACATGTGTGGGTGGAAGGAGAGAACCAGCTCCACAAAGTTGTCCTCTGACCTCCACACATGCACCCCAATACACACACACACACACACACACACACACACTAATAATAATAAGTTTATTTTTAGAAAAAAGACTTCAAAATAAGAGGCTTTAGGAGAACCTATAGATTTCCCATTGTGACCCTGAAACTCTTGGAGACACAGAAGGCATGAATGCAGTGATAAGGCTTCTTCTACTGGAAAACCCAGGAGACAGCAACAGTGTTGTGTGACCCACACCTGATCTGAGAACACGAAGCAGCAAGGCTGTCTGCCAGCTCAGTCCCAGTGTGCCAACGGGTTCTGGCTTCAGTGACACCCCTAGTTTGAAAACACAAACTGCCTCCAAGATGATCTTGGAATAAAATGCCTTCTTATCTGCGATGAATAAAAAAGAGAAGCAGAACAGATGATATCTAAGTCAAGTCTTAGAAAACAGCTGCTGACTCAGATGCTGTTCCCATCTCCAGTGAGATAATATATATGGAAGTCCTTCTAAGGGCTAGCTTATACCACTCAAAAGCACTTTATCTGGGTTTGAATCTCTTGCAATCCATTATTGCTCCAATAGTCAGAATTATGTTTTCCTGGCAGGCATATATATATATATATATATATATATATATATATATATATATATATGCTTTTTGAAAGATACCTTGTAATCATGGAGTTACATTTGACTCTAATGGGAATGCTTGTGTAAAGGGAGACCATATAGTTGAAATCCCACACAAGGAGTCATGTGAAAAGACCCATGGATAACACCAAGGAAAGAGGAACTCAATAATCAGCTAATCCATACATTGAGTTATCCATACTATTCATTTCAAAGTAATAATCCCTCATGGATTGCATCATGTTATTTTCAGTATGTATTAGAAAATCCTGATAAGTAGCAGGGATAAAATTGAGACATCTCAGGTAGAGTGAAATATAACTTTAATATTGCGATCTTATAGAATGTATTATCATAGAAGCAGCATGGTTTGCCTTGTCCTTTGCTCAGGGAAAGCTCCTGAAGGACATACTGCCCTTCACGAAGCACTCTGCCATTTCCTTGAGTTCACTGTACACTGACTCGTGCTGCAGGACACTGCTGGCTGCCAATGTGGGTAAGTCCTCCTCCTGTCAGGTTAATCTGCATCTTAAGAACCTGTGCGGTATAAAAATGGCTCTGAGAAACACACGTGACATTTACAGGGACAAATGAAAGTCTCCGAGGAGGTAGACTCAAAGTGAGAGAGTTTGAGACCCGAGAACACAAAGTACCATGGCTGTCTGCCAGCTCCAACCCAACCTTTGCTGTTTGTGGCGTGTGTCCTCCTTATGGTTCCTCCAGGGTCTGGATTCTGAGTCCTTATCTAGGTATTTCCTCACATGTGTTGCTGCAAGCTGTTCATTCATTGCTGGATTCCCAGACCCAAAATAATCACACAGAAATTGTCTTAATTAAATCACTGCTTGACCTATCAGCTCTAGCTTCTTATCGGCTAGCTCTTACATCGTAAATTAACCCATTTCTATTAATCTGTGTTTCACCATGTGGCTCTGGCTTACCAGCAAGGTTCAGGTGTGTCTGTCTCCTGCACGCAGCTACATGGCTTCTCCCTGACTCTGTTTCCTCTCTTTATATATCTTTTCAGCCTGGCTATATTCTGTTAAGCCATTGGTTGAAAGCAGTTTCTTTATTAACCAATGGTATTCACAGCATACAGAGGGAAATCCCACATTATACATGGATAACCTTTGAATACAGGTGAAATTGTCCACGAATTTGTCCTTCACCTTATAGAATTGCATACCCTCAGGACTCAGCTTAGATGCTAAGACACTGCTGGACCTCCAGGAGACTGAGAGAGCATCATGATACTGTACACTGCTGTAGACTGAGGGCTGGCATGTCCCAGGGTATCAGCTAATGCCAAATGGCTGCATATTTCTATCTCAGGGCAGAATCTAAGGTTCTATCCCTCACCCAAAGTGTGTGGGCCAACTAAATGTATATTTTTGCTTGCTTTTTTTAAGACAGGATCTTTCTATGTAGCTTTGGTTTTCTTGGAACTGTCTATGTAGACCTAGATGTCCTTGAATTCATAGCAATCAGCCTGCCTCTGCCTTCTGAGTGCTGGGAATAAAGGGGTGTGTCACCATGGCCAGCCTACAAATAATTTCTTCTTCTGAAATTCTAGAAGGTTTCTGATAGAATTTTGGGTATCTCTTCTGTAAAATATCATACCATCTATACATAGAAATGAATTGGCTTATTTTGCTATTCACAGTTCATTGATTTTCTTCTCTTGTCTTACTGCTCTAGCTATGACTTCAAGCACTATATTGGATAGAAATGATTAAAGTGGTCACTCTTGTCTTTTTTGTTGGAATGCTTTGAGTTTTCCCTCATTTAATATCATGATGGCTATTGGTTTTTTTTATGTATTGGCTTTTATTATGTTATATATGTTCTCCATCCCAAGTCTCTCCAGGGATTTTATCTTAAAGGGATTCTGTATTTTTCTCAAAGGTCTTTTCTGTATCAATTGAAATAATATGAATTCTGTTCTTGAATCCATTTATGTAGTCCAATATTATTCCATTGAACCATCAATCCACCCCTGGAATAAAGCCTACTTGATCATATTAATGGTATGATGGATGTGTTCCTGAATTCAGTTCAAAGTTTTTTCCAAGAATTTTTCATCTGTATTAATCAAGGAAATTGGTCTATAATTGTTTTTTGTGTTGGATATTTATCTGGTTTTGTATCAAGATAATCTTGGCTTATTAAAAAGAGTTTGGGAGCATTTCTTCTCCTTCTTTTATGGAGCAATCTGAGTTAGTATTGATGTTCATTCTTCTTACTATTTTTTTATTTGGGATAGGATTTCATGTAGCCCAGGATGGCCTCAGACTTTCTATATAACCAAAGATGACCTTCTACTTCTGGTCATTGTGCCTCTAGCTCTTGAGAACTAGGGTTACAATGGATATACCACCACACCCAGTTTTATGCTATGCTGGGGACCAAACCCAGGATTTCTACAGACTAGGAAAGTCTTCCACCAAGCTATATCACCAGACTCCAAATTTCTTTTCAGATTCTATTCTCTCTACTAATTTAAGTGCCTGAATCAAAAATGACTTGTCATTCTGGGGAGCGTTTGACTAAAGAATATAGTATCTAACTAAGCACTCCAATGTTTAAATTTTATACAGAAGGACATGTTATCCTTTGCAGTATTAGTGCCTTCTTGGATCCGCCTCATGATGAAAAGGTATGAACCCCAGCTTTCCACAAACAGCTCATGTTTTGTTTTTTTTAACATTTTCCTCAAGCACACACACAAATGATGGAAATGCAAGTGCCCCCTATACTCCAGGTATATATTCTACTGCAATTTAAGCTACATGACCCCAGCCTTTGCTTGGGTGGGTGCTGTCTTAAGACATAGAATAAACCCTTGGATGACCAAATGTTCTTGAACATCTCTGAAGCAATTTGAAGTAAGAGAGTACAGACTTTTAGCCTGTCTTTTAAAGAACAAACATGGGAAACTGAGTCAGCAGTCTAAGAATCTTGGAAGAAATTATTTTTAACCCTACTCGAGTCTCAAGGAATAGGAGATGCACAGAACTGCATGCTCCAGGACTTTGGTCACACAGATAACCATGAGTATATGGCCCAGGGGAAATGTGGTCTTAGTGTGTCCATCGATGAATAGAGAGAAGCACACAGAGGATATTGCTGCAGAACAAACCATAGGAATGTCTTCTGAAGCCCCTTAGACTCCAAACTTAAGGACAAATGTTAAAGAAGGTTGGCCTTCTTTGGGTCCATCAGTTGACCCTCACACTTCTTTTGAAAGAGAATAAGCTATGCCTATTCTTCTTGCCAGTTACTTATAGCAGGTGCCTCTTACCCTCAAACCCCATGCAAAGAAGAATGCAGTCAATGCTTTCTCTAGGTACAATTTGCAAATTTAAAAGAGTTCTTTGGGCTTCACCTTCTGGATCTGCTTTCTCTCACTCCTAATGATCTTCCCTGTGTCTCTCACAGCTACCAACCATCCACTAAAGTCAATGGCACATTAATAAAAATATGAACTGCTTTATTCAGCAGGGGTATGAGCAGAATAATAATTCTCCAAAACTGGGGTGCTTTTGGTACCTCTATAAGCAAGAGAAAAGATAATCAGAGCAGAGGCTCAATCACCATCTATCCCACCCAGTCATAAATAGAGCTCTTCATTGAGAAATGATTTTGCTTAAGATTGTACTTTGATTCATTCCAAGAGATATGTCTTCTTGTTGCCATCTAGAAATTCAAGCAGCTGCTATCCTGGCGTGCCCATTCTTTAGAAGTTATTCAAGTGATCTATGTGGAAGACAAGCAGCTGGTGCTTACTGCCTCCATTGATGGCTCAGTGAGGTAAACCCAGACGGGTCCATCCTGGGAACTCGGGGTTTTAGTGTGAGGGGAGTAAGATTGATGCTAATGCTTGTGTGTCTGGTTACGAGGCAGTGCTTTGGGTCACTTCTTGACCTTTTGGCTAAGATCAAATGTGTATCTATTCTTATCAGCTGAATGTCGGATACATCCTCTATCCTCTGAGGACAATATATTACATAGATGTGGGATCTGGAAAATAGGATTGGAGCTTGCTCCACTTATTTGGTATGTGGACCTAGTGTCACAGCATCCACATAAATGGTGCACCCCCTTCATGTGGTGCTGCGGGAGTATCTTCTGCTGCCTCAGCCAATAGCCGCTGAAATACCAGCCCACTGGGACGTGGTATATTTCTCTTTTAAAAAGAGACACAGATCCCGGATCAGGCCCTCTTGGTTCCAGCGCTTGGTCCCGGCTCCTGCTCTCGGCTCCTGCTCCAGCGACTATTGGCTGAGGCAGCGGAAGATACTCCCGCAGCAATGTGGTTTCAGGAAAAGCACAGTTTGGGTCCACTTATTAGAATAAATTTATAAGTAAACCAAAAAAGTTACCAAGAGGATCTTTGGGAAAACCGTCACTGACTTGGATTCTTTTTCTATACCCAGGGAAATGAGCTCTGCTGTGCTCCTCTATGAACAAAGGACAGAGGCATAGGTCTCAGAATCATTTTTTGCAATGTTGGTTGTTTTACAAACTCATTAGGAAATACTGCTTTTTAAAAAGTTATGACAAATATTTGCAGCGGAATTGGGTTTTGTAGGGTTATTTCAGAGAATGAAGCAGAATAGAAAGCTCAGAGAACTAGACTCACACCTGGGGAAGGCCAAAGAAGATGGTTTGGTGTCAAAAGTTTAAAAGACAGTCATAGGCAAGAGTATGTAGTTAGATGGAGTGGGGCACACCAGGAGTTCGGCCCTTTGGGAAATAAAGAGGCAGGAGGATCTCTTGGGCTCAGAAATTTTGAGCCAGACTGGGAAACTTTGTCAGAAAGAGAAAGGGAAGGAGAGGAATGAAGGACGAGGGTGGAAAGGTGACCAGGAGAGGGGGGAGAAAGAAAATAAAAGAAGGAGAGTGGGACAAAAGAAATGAAGGATATAAAGACAGGAAGGAAGGAGTGAAGGAAGAAAGGAAGGAAGGAGGGAGGAAGGAGTGGAGGGAAGGAAGGGGTAGAGGGAGGGAAGGAAGGAAAGCCAGGCAGAAAAGAAAGGAGAAAGAGAAGAAGGAAGGAAAAGAGGATAAAGAAGGGAGGCAAAGAGAGGCAAGGGAGAGGAAATGACAGGTGAGGAAGGCAGAAAAGGAAGGGAAGAATAAAGGAAAGAAAGGAGAAGAGACAGAAAAAAATAAGAGTAGAAGGGGAAAAGAGACCCACCCAAAGATAAGGTCACCCAATAGTGAGAGATGGGCATAGTCTAGTTATTTTAGTGTGATTGATTTTTTTACATAGCCTACTTACTTGAACTTAACTAATTAATTATAATCAATGCTAAGCACATGTACCCAAAATACAAAATACTAAAAATAAATACACATATATAAAGAAAAAGAAAGGAAATGTCATGACATTTCTGAAAACAAACTGCTGCCTACATGAAGTGTTTTAAAATTGTAGCAATGAATTATGCTCTTGAAAGAATGGAGTTAGATAATATTAGAAGATCTGGAGAGACTTTAAGTGAATCAGAAACCAGTCAAAATACAAATGAAAAGAGACAGATGTTTTATACTCTTATCAAGGTCCTTGAATTAAAGTTGAACAGATCCTGGCTAACTCTCTGAGCTTGGGGGTGGGGAGAGTTGGCTGGGACACTGTGCAGTACCTAGGCATTGCTGTGGATTCTGTATATTTACCTTTAAAGTAGCCACTAGAGGGTTTTAGACCGAAAACAAATGGCTTAAGATTGAAAGCCATGTGACAGATCAAATCAAGAAGACATGAGCTTCAACTAAAGGAGAAAATGAGGGATCAATGTGAAGAATGGGACCTGACATATTCCACTAGAGGAACCCTAATGCCATCCCAGATAGAAGTCACTATAAGAACTACAATATGGAAATACCATATTTAGAAATTTCAAGACCAAGATGATTCTGTAGGAGAGGCAAATGGATCGAGCTATTTCTTTATTAGAAAAAGGACCAGTTTTATTAGTAGGTAAAAACATATTATAAATGCCACTAATAACTTGATTTTTCTGGGCTTTTCTCATGGTGATATATTGTTTGTACAAATAAAGCTTGCCTGAAGATCAGAGGGTGGAGCTAGCCACTAGCTAATCATAGAGGTCTAGACGTTTGGAGGTCTGTACAGACAGACAGGAAGTGATATGACTGGGAGGAAAGAGGAAGTGATAAGGCAAGAGGAGACAGGAACTCATTCTTTTTTTTTTTTGGCTGGGAAGTTGAGAGATAAGGTGGCTGCCGTTTTGCTCCTTCATCTCTCTGGTCTCTGATTTTCCCCAATATCTAACTTCAGGCTTTAATTATTAAGACCTATTAGAACACGTGCTCCATTACTCGGGCTTGTTTTCAGTTTCACTTACCCATCAGTAGAAATGTTTGATGAAGGTCGTAGTACATGCAGTTGGGCGTACATGTGGGTGTGAATGCACACATACATATACCAACCACACAGGTATATAAAGCCTCTATTACTATGAGCATTGCCCTCTTTTCCCAGTCTCTTTAGACTGCTGTAACAAAGCACTTTAAAATGGGTTGTTTACAAGCAAGAGAAATTTATTACTCATGGTTCTAGAGACTGGAATGTCCACGATCATATACCAACAGACTGAACAGTTAGTGTTTGTTCTGTGCTTCGCAAATGTCACCTGCCTACCTCTGACCATGGTGTACGGCCACCAGTCTTCCATCACTACCGCAAAGCACTTGATTATGTTAATTTAATGGTGGAAGGCTTTATGCTAGTATGTGTGCATGTGTGCATGCATGTGTGTGAGGGATGGGGTGCACACATGTGCTATGGTGCACATGTGGGGAGGACAGACGACAACTTCATGAAATCAGTCTCTCCTTCCACTTTTCTGTGGGTTCAGAAGATCAGAGTCATGTCAGCAGACTTGAGCGACAAGTGCCTTTTCCCTCTGACTCACATCAGGGGCCCCCAGGGGATGTGTGATGTGGACTCAGAGCATCAGAGACTTCAGTCCTGAGAGGCATAGCTTTTCAGCCTGCAATGAGACAGAGCCTCCTGATACAGGGGCCTGGTGGAGGAAAGCTGCTCGCTTCATAGAAGCTGGGAAGCACACACAGGAAGGGCTATGAGATGACTTTCAATGTAATGTCGTAGTGACCAGTCCAACTAAACCCCACTGATGAGGTCAGCACTTACATGATAGCAGTTAACTCTCCAGTGCCACCAGCTGGAGACCAAGCATCCAGCACATTAGCCCTTGGAGACATTCTACATCTAAACCATGACTTAGTGAAAAGGGTTACAACAGCTCCATCAGCCATCTTTCGCTAGGGACACTGCTCTCATTTAACTGTTCCCTCTAAAACCCCTGTTAAAATTGAATCACTGATGTGAGGCATTAAGAGGGTAGAAACTTAATTTGACCGATATTTAGAGGTTAAGATTTCTAAAACATAACCAAGGTTATATGAGGCTGATGGCAGGGCGCTGATGCTATGAGACTATACCTCATTAAAAAAAATAAAAATAAAAATAAAAAAAGAGGGCTGGAAAATGGATCAGAGGGGAAAGGCAATTGCTGCTAAGTTTGATGAACTTGGAAGCCTACATATTAGAGAGGAAACCAACTCCCACAACCTGTTCTCTAACCTCCACACAAGCCCCTGTATACACATACAATAAGTCAGTAAATATAAAAAATGTGAAGGATCAAAGGCATGAGTGAGGCTAATGTGTCTTGTCCTGTGATGCTCTGGAGAGCTTTGGAACTCTGTAGGGGGCCCCTTCTAGCATGGAGGGCATCACCCTACGTGACCAACAGTTTTGAACTTCTCAGTCTCAATACATCATGCAGTCAGCTATAGAAAGGAAAAGTGGAATAAGGCAGGCACTAATTCTATTTATGGAGGTGGACTCCTCATGACCTAAGCACTCCCCAAAGGCTCCATCTCATGCCATCCTGTTAGGAATTAGGGTTCAACATGACTTTGTGGGGACACGGACGTTTAGAATAATGCACTGTTCAAGTCAGTCGTCCTTGGCCTGGAGAAATTATTTTTATGATTCCTTTAAGTGGAACACTCCCCAGACACTCAATTCATAGAGCGCGTCTCTATTAATAGCTGTCTCAAAGCACTGCTGCCTTTGTAACTAAGCCACATCCTTTGGCTAATATATGCTGCCACATTCTCAAGAGGCAGGTACTCTCACATCCTAAATCTTGTTTATGAAAAGATTATGACTTTTCAATGGAGAAAGAACATGACTGAGACGTAATCTGGGGCATAGGGCAGGAAATTGGAAGCCTCCTGATGACTCAGGTCTGTGTCTAAGGCCCAGGATGTCAAGTGGGGTTATTCACTTGCAAAGAGCCATGAGGAACAGGAAACACTGTGAAGCAGGAAGTCAGGTTGCTTTAGTATGGTCCTGGAGCAGAATTCATTTAGCCTCCTAGCATTCTTGCTTTCTGTTTAAACAGCTTGTTATAAATGCTCTTAATGACTCTATTTCCTTATTGGTAACAGTTCTGGGAAGGCCAGTAATGCTCTCAATTAAAAAATAGGAGGTATGTAAGATGCTCATGCTAAATCCTCATACAGTAACAAGTGTGAGGCGTCACTGCCAGCTACCTCTGCTTCTGCCTTCGCTCACTGGCTATTTTGAGTAAGCCTACTCTCTGAATTGTGTAGAATTTACTGTTCCTTCTCAGTCATTGCCACAAACCCATGGTTAGAGTTGAAACCAAGACATAAAGAGATGTCTGTAATCCCAGGACCCAGGAGGCTAACACAAGAAGAGCATTACCTTATTAAATAGCCCTGTTTAACTTGGCTATCCAGGAACTTCCTATAAATCTCTGGATGGCTAAACTAGGCTACCCGATGAGAACTGTCCCCCCCCCAAAAAAAAAGAAAGGAAAAAAAAGAAAACCTAAACTAAAATAAATAGGCACAAAACAGCTCTCTGTATGACACAGAGCACATGTTCCTACTAATAGTATTCTATATTAGCTTAAGTCCACTGGGCAAATTGGAGTAGCTTCTTAGGATAAGGAACTTACACAAATGGGTAACGAAGGACTTCCTTTATCATTCTTCCTCATTACTCAGCTGGGAACATTGGAGAGTGGGAATAGTAGCTGGAACGTAGGAAGAAGTCAGTATTACCAGAAGCATCCCCAGCTCTCTCTTCACACAAGTTCCGTGTTGGTGATGATTCCTAAGTAGACAGATGAAACATAACCCACTGTAAGACCTACTTTAGCTCGTAGGTTCTCAGGGTGGGTTCTGATCAGCTTGTGTTGGCGGGGTTGTTCGGAGAGGAATGTCTTCCTTGTTTTTTTAGCTTCTATCAGCGAAGAGTGCTCGCACAAGTTCAAATTGGCTAATGCCAAAAAGTTACAGGTTAGAGTTCTGGCTGATAAAAATGTTTACATTAAGGGCTAGGGGTGTAGTCCAGTGACAGAATGCTTATCTGGTGTGCTTGAAGTATTGAGCTCAAAAATAAAGGTTTGTGTAATGATTAGCTCCACAGCATTGAGGGGGAAGTGTCCTGAATGAGCTTTAAAATCCTTGGTAGACCAATGCAGTCCACGTGACCTATGACCTGTGCTCAAACTCACTTCCTCTGACCTCCTCAATTACTTCCCTCCCTCCTTGACTCTCCTTCAGGCTCTGGCATTCCACCAGCGGTCATTACTGTGGCTATTTCGGACAACGGAGAATGTTTGATCTAACCCAAAGCAGTGATTTCATTTTGCCTTGTGATGTTAATGAATATCCCGTAGAGATAAAAGAAGAAAGCAAGTTCACAGAGAAGCAGCAGAAATATGAATATCCTCTGATATTTGACCGTGAGAGGTGGGAACATTTTTTTTCTTTTAATGAACAGACGAGAGTTAAATTATAACTACGTGGTAACACCTCAGTAGAATAGGGAATTCAAAGTCACCACTCTTCAATAATTTTGACGGCCCATGAAAGAGAGTAATAAGTAATAAGGGAACTGTAATTCAGTGCACTAGTCCCGAGAACACTAATTCTTAGTAACCAATGGGCGAGACCAAAGAACAAAAAGGCATTTGTGTCAGAAGAGGCACCAAATAACTCGAGACCGTGATATGATATAGTCCTAACCGTGGAGCCCGGGGGCAGAGGGGATGTGAGAAAGACACAGAAGACAAAACCACAAAAGCCTAATGAAACCAGATCCCGTCTGCTCAGACCTGCAATCTCAGGACTGCCGAGGCTATCGTGGGCTACCTAGCAAAACTCTGGGTCTAAAGCGAACAAGATAAAAACACAACAATAAATGGGCCGAAGAAGTGGCTCTGTGGCTAAGAGCACTGCCTGTCCTTGCAGAGGACCACAGTGCAGTTCCCAGTACCCAGTCAGTCGGCTTTATAACGGTATGTAACTCCAGCTCCAGGGGACTCAGCTGCCTCTCCTTGCCTCCAAAGACACCAACACACAAGTGCACATACTCACACAGATACGAACATAAATATAAAACTAAAATCTGTTCTAAAAAGAAAAAGAAATCTACAGAGGTCACATTGCCAAGTCTCTGAGCCAAACTGAGAAATTCAAACTCACTGGATCACGAGTCCCAGTAGGAAACATGGCACAAAGGAAAACCTGATGGGTTTGGTTGGGGACAGGGGTTCAGTCTACAGTGCTTGAGGTGCATCCAGGTAGAGCATCTCAGAAGCTCTTAGGTTAGTCGGTCCAGACATGCTGAACAGTCCACAGCTGTAGACAAGGTTCTGAAGTCAGTTATCAGGATAATATTTTCACTGTGGATAAGGCGTTCGGGTACCACGTCTTAAGTCAGAAAAATAGAAAACTAAGAAATAAACAAAGAGAAGGCCAAGGAAGAGATTCATGTGGAAAATCTTGAATGAGAATAGCTAACGTATAAAAAGAAAAAACCACAAGCAAGTAATGAAAGGGAAATCAAGGGAGAGGGTGTGTACAAGAACATGGTGGGTCTCTTATAGTATATGGGAACAAAGCCACTCAACAGAGAAGGAAGCATTGGGCTTGACACGACAAGGTCCTTGATGACTCTGGAAGGAAAATTTCACTGGAGTGATGGGAGAAAGACCACAAGACAAAAGCTAAGAACGCTCCAGGGAAAGTTACCTTTCCTTTTATATTCAACAATTATACTTTTTATATGTTACAATACAATATTTTGGCACATGTATTTGTGCCACACATATAATATGTATTTAAAATGATACTAATTGTTTTCATTTTGGTTAACATTAGTTTAGGCTTGGAACCTTCGAGGTTAGTGCAGATGATTTAGGAAAAACAATCAACCTGACTACACAGTAGAGACTGGGCTTAGTAGCTTGTGTCTGTGTTCCCAGCAGAGTCAGAGAGGTTCAGTCAAAGTTGAAGGCCAGCTTGGGCTTTGTACAAAGTTTCAGGCCAATCAGAGATACATAATGAGACCCTATTTCAGAAGAACTACAAAAATAAAAAGATATGTAATAGAGCTTATTAGAAGCTGAGGAAGCAGGAAAAGGAGGCTTGGTAACAGTCATCAAACATACAATTAACATAGATGACTTTTCAAATAAAGTAAATAATTGTAAGCATTGCAGGAGAGTCTGTTGCATGGGTTTGTTTTTGTGTGGAAGATGGGAATGCTTAAAGGTAGGGAGGAGGGGAAATGGTTCTGCGGTGGAGAATGGAATGTGAGGAAGAAAGCGGTTCACAAATGTCACCTCTTGCTTTTTGACTGGCTTTGTCACAGCAGAAGAGGCTGCTGCACATCTGAGCCAAGCTTATATGTTAGATGTCTAAATGTCCAGTTTAAAAAGAAAACCAAAACAAATCCTAACAACAGCAGAAACAGACCTGCCTAGGGCTAGTGATAATCCTGTAAATCAGAAATTGGAGAGCCAACAAGGATGATTCCCAAGCAGGAAGCCTCTGAGGGGTCGTCAGAAAGAAGGTCTTTTTAGAGAACCCTAAGTGAGACAAAACTGGGAAGACTAGATGCCGTTGTTTAACACACGGAATGTCAAAAGTGCTGGAAGTAAGAATTGAAGCTAAGAACAAAAACTACAGCACTCAAAAAAATACAACCAAGTTGGCAAGAATCAAGGTCTCCAGGTGACCGAAAAGCACCACCTGAAGGTTCGAGGCTTCCCTTGGTTGGTCAGTAAGGAGCAATGGGAAGGAGCCTGGTTAACGTGTAAGAAATAGACTTGTAGAACCAAGCCCATCAGGACGTAGCCAGGTTCAGCAATGAGAGATGATTAGCCGTATCTTTTGGATAACTTTCCAGACTTGAATATCCATGTATCTTGTGTTAGTCACTCCACTTCCGACTGTGACCAAATACCTGGCAAAGGTAACTTAAGGAAGCATTTGTTTGGGTTCAGGCTTCCAGGGTACAGTCTGCCTTGGCATGGAAGCCATGGCAACTTGAGCCTCTTTGTGAATGTGAGGCTTCTTTACTCACAGTTTAAGGACCACGGTCTTGTTTACGTATCTTTGTAATCCCTGTTCTTAGCTCAGTGGTAGCCCCCAAAGGACACTCAAAAAATAGTTCTGAAGAACTAATAGTGGCTATTACAAGCAAAGGGCACAGACGTAAGTAATAGACACCGAAGCATTAAAGGGTCATCATGACTTGGATAATTTAAACATATGACACTGTCTTATTAAGAAATAAATTTGTTCTGTATAGCAAATTAAGCCTTGCTCTACAGAATGATTCAGTTACATTATATTTGTTTATTTGTTTGAGGAGTAACAAAAAGTGCATGGCACAGCACGTCTGTGAAGGGCTGAGGACAACAGGCAAAAGCCGGTCTCTCCTTCCACCCTGTGCATCCTGGGAATCAAACTCAGATCATCGGACTTGGTGTCTTCACCCACGGACTCATCCCTCTGCCTAGAATGATCCCATCTCAAGATATATTAGTGACTGCTGTTTTAAAAAGTGTTTTTAATGCTTAGCTCTGACTTTCTAAATACATATGTAAATAAGTTTTAACTGTAGAGGAAGCTTCCCAAGGTTACTCAAAAGTCAAGCCTGGAATTTAGAAGCCTTTATCCCATCCCTACTATAAGGACTCCCTGAAAAATGACAACTGATGATTTCAATTACATGGACAATTCCGGCAGAGCAGAAATTGCAGTAGTTTCCCTAGAGGGAGATCTAGGAAGCAAAGTGGAATAAGAATTAGGTAGAGTGTCAGTGTTATTGGGACCGGTGTCATGAAAGTCAGCAATGTGGGGAGCCAAGGGGAAGGATGCAATCCCACGATGGATATTTGCTCACTTGGCAGGGGATGCAAGTTGCAGCTATGTGCCTGACTCTGTTTTTGTATTTTTGTATACAGATGGAAAAAAATGAGCTCACTGTCTTTGCTTTTCAAACGCGCACCACCCAAGCCCTTTGAAGTGCAACACGATTTTAAATTTTTCAAGTCTCTTTCTTCTCCGAAGGTAGCTAAAATGACAAAACTTACCTTTGTTTTTGAATTTTTTTTTTGAATTTTTGAATTTTTGAATATTCCCCTTATTATAGCCTGTTAGCTTTCTGCTGTTACTCTTGCAAACTGCCACAAGTTTTTTGTTTTTATTTTTTGATCTTTTTTTGCATAAACAATGCGCAGTAATTATCTTACAGATTTATAGGTCAAGACAAAAAAAACCTAAAATGAGAGCAGGGTGCAGTGCTGCTTGCCTACAATTCCAGCAGCACTTCGGAAGTAGAGAAAGGAGGGTCAAGAGTTCAAAGCCGTCCTCAGACACCTGTGAGCTCAAGGCCTATCTGCCTAGATAAGAATTTGTGTGTGTGTGTGTATGTGTGTGTGTGTGTGTGTGTGTGTGTGTGTGTATTTAATCTTAAAATGAGTCTCATGGGTTTGAAAGTGAAGTGTAGCCAGAGCTGTGATTGTTTTAAGGGATTGAGGAGGGTGGGGAAACCCATATTCCTTAGTTTGTGTACCCTCCCATCATCATCAAAGTCAGAAAGGCAGGTTCTCTCTGAGTATGTGGTGGGAGTAGGGGGTCTCACTCAGTGGGAAAGGTTCTGTACTTGGAAGAATCAAGTGATTACCTGGAGGCACCCAGGTAAGTCGGGAGAACCTCTCCCCTCAAGAGGAAAGTCAGTATATAGTACTCCCAGGTTAAGGGTAGAAAGTAGGGGGTAGACATCATCACTGGAGCTCATTTTGTGTTCATGGGCATGTTTTGTTTACAGTCTGAGAAAAGGGAGCTGCTATTATTTAACCATGCTAGAGAATGGATTAGTGTGAGGCTAAAGGTCTGGAATTGATCAGTAATTAGTTAAAAAATGTATTCCCTCTGGCTCACCCACAAATTAAGCAAGCACACCTGTCCGAATTGATCTCTAGTCCACTACTGCATTTTACCATTTACCATCTTCCTGAGCTCCTGTCCCTGAAATGCACTTCATCTGGGCTGCCCTTGACACAGCCAGAACATTTCTTCATCTGTCCAAACCCCCCGTCTTCAGAAAACTCATAAATGAACAATGGTGGGTATCTGGACTATGGGAGGAGGAAAAAACTTCTGAAAAATAAAGGAGAAAAATAGAATCTAAAAACTGCTTTCAAAGCTTGGCTATTTCACTGAAGAAAAAGTGCATACCAATGAGACACCTAACCTCTTTAGTACACAGTAAATGCACATCAATAGCACTGTGGGATTCCACTTTATCCCTCCCAGGGTTTAAATAAAGAATCTGAGGACACCAGAGGCACTAATCTGGTGGCTGTCATATGAACTGGTAGAAAGTCACTGAAAATCAATGTGGCATTATCAGGCATGGTTGAAAATAGCCCTCTTACATACATTTTAACTCAAAGGGTGGGTGTAAAAATGCTGGGATAGAAGGCTAACTTGGTCTATATAGTGAGTTCTATGTTGGTCTATAGGCTACAAAGAGAGACTAGTCTTAAAAATCAACACACACACATAGGAAGCACACCAAAGGTAAGATGATAACTGAAATATCAAATAAATTGGTTAAAATCCTTAGAAATGCTTTTCAGAGTCCTTGAAACACTCAAATATGGCAAATTTCTTCCCGTGCCTCCCTATCTTCCCACCTCACTTGTCCAGTGAATGAAAGGCTTCAACACCAGTTGAGTTGAGATGTGATTCACTTGGAATCTCTGATACTAGACAGCTTTCTGATCATTTCCTTTTGATATGTGGTTAACAGTACCAATGATACCATGATAGGCCAGTTTCCATTGGAGTAGCCCCTTTCCCTAAACTTATCATCAACAGAGAACTTGCCTAAGATCTTGTATTAATGAGTCAGGTTTTTAGTGGATAGAACATGCCCTTCCCAGTAAATCATTGTGTTCTTTTGTAGATTCGCCGATATGCTTTGGAAGGTTTCATGACAGAAAACAGAGAAGCAGGGATTGTTTTTGGTTCTCTGCCTATATACAGGGTAAGTCAGAAGTTTCTATAACTAGGGTGGTAACAGGGCAATACAAAAAATCTGATTTCTCATTGCTGACACAATCAGCCCGCAGATGTTTTCATAAACACACCGGGCCCCGTCCTAGGCAAGTGTTGGATTACGTCTGTCAGTAGCTTGAATTGCTCACCTCTGCCATTGCACATAAGAGTGACTTTGAGCTTTGACCCAGTGGTTCATACCATCAAGATAAAATCCAAATGCCTTAGAGTAGCATGCAAACCTTCTATGATCTAGACTTTTGAGCCCTGCTTCCTCCACCTTCTCCCGATACTGTTCCTATAGTCCAGCAACACTTGGGTGCCACTGGGTACTCTGTCACTGTGCCTGTGCTATTATCTGCTCAACAGTCATCAAACCTCTTGTCCAAGTCTCCACCCCCAGACAACCAGTGTTAAGTAACTAGTGAATGAAACCAAGAAAAAACAAACCAAATACCAATTGTGTCAACATAATGTCAACATAGATCTTAAGCATTACTTATCTTTCAAACGACATGCTCACTGGAGTAGGAAACAACAACAACAACAAAAAAAAAAACCCGTGATGCCAACGGTGGTCAACAATTAACTGGAGAGATAGTTCAGTCATTAAAAGGCTTGACACACAAGTATAAGGACTTGGGTTTGGATCCCCAGCACCCACACACACAAAACTGATCACAGTAGGGTGCATCTGTAATGCCTGTGCTGGGGAGGCAGAAACAGAAGAATCCCTGGGGTTCTTGACCACCTGTTCCAGTGTAATTGGTAAGCTCGAGCTTCAGTAAGAGACTGGTCCTCAAAACATAAGGTGGGGAGCTGGGGAGAGCTCTCTGTAAACAAAACACTTGTCATACAAGCACGAGGACCAGAGTTCAGATCCTCAGAACTCACAGAAAAGTCGAGAAGTCGAGGCAGTTCACCTGCATTCCCAGTGCTTAGGAGTTGGAGTCGGGGGGGATTCTGCGAGATAAGCTGGCATGCTCCAATAACCCTGCATCAGTCAATAAAGAAGAGTTGGCCTCCATAGGCATGAGTGTGTGCATGGCACACACACTGAAATAACAACGGGGTAACACACACCTATATTCCCAGAACCAGAATGGCAGAGGCAGAAGGGTGTAGAGTTCAAGGTCAGCCTGAAATACATAAATCTGTCTCAAAAATTCAAAAGTAAGGGACTGGAAAAATGGCTCAGTGGTTAAGAATATTTGCTGCTCAGATACCTGGGTTCAATTCCAAGCATCCTCGTGGCAGCTCACGACTTCCGATAACCCCAGTTCCAGGGGATCCAACACCCTCTCTCATCCACTGAAGACACCAAGAACATGCGTGGTACACAGATGTACCTGCAGGCAGAACACCCAAACACAAGCAAACATTTTTTATTTAAAAAAAAATTAAAAGAACCAAACTAACAGCAGGAGAAAGAACAATGGGTGTCTGAAAGGGGGCATGTGCTTGAAGGAGATGGACCTCTCGTGTGGCACCCCTACCTCAGGTTTACATTGTGAAAGAAAACACCCTAGATGTTCTTAACTCAGGCCATGGTTTACAGGTGCCGAGCCCCACAAGTCTAAGATACCTTCCACTCATTGGCTCTGAAGCACAAAGAGACTCGATAGAGGGTGTCCACGGGAAGAAGAAGGGCGCGCATGTTCAGCACGATAAAGTAAGTTACGTGCACCCCACAGAGCACTCTAATTCCACATGCACCCCACACACATACAGATTTTCTATTTAATTGCTTCTCTGTCCCCCAAAACATCCTGAGTCTAAAGTCTTTCAGTGCTTATTTTCGTGGAGATTCCAGATGTGGATGTGTTCCGTTCAGTGAAGATTAAAGTCATGTGCTTGCTGGGTAGGAAGTGAGAGGAAAACCAAATGCAACCTGTGGGCCTGAACACACCAGCACCCACGTTATAGCCTGTCTGCAATGGTGTGTGATGTAATCTTAGCACTGGACATATGAAACATGAGACTGCTGGGATAAAGGACCAGCCAGTGGAGCTAAGTTGCCGAGCCCCAAGTTCAGTAAGAGAAATAAGATGGAGAGTTATTGAGGAAGATACCAGATGCTTGTGTGCGTGCACACACAAAATTTAAATTTGATGATATAATTGACAATTATGGCTAATTTTACCTTCCAATTAATGTGCCAAGTCTGAGGCTGTGCGTTTGCAACAATGCATTAAAAATTAACACTCCCATCTTGCAGATACAAAAGCTGAAGCACGGAGCATAAACAATTACCAAAGAGTTCCAAAGAACCTGGTGACTTCAGACCTGGGATTTCAACCCAGAAGCTTGGTTTCAGAGCCAATATGTTTAACTATAAGACAGTATAATTTAGAAGTACATGAGCTTCTGGGATCTCCTGGTGGGAAGAACCGCTGAGAACACACAAATGATGACAGCCTCCTCACTCAGTGTTGCTTTTCTCTCTGCCATTATCACCCTCTGACGACTTGTCATACAGTAATTTCCCCCTTTGTACTATGGCATCTAATTGTCCTTTAATAACTCATTTCTCTTCACTGTGTTTATTAAACTGGATTTCAAATTCTAAGGGCACACATTTAGTCAGAATCATTCTTTCAGACTGTATAGTGACATTGATTTGTGTTTTAATAAATAAAACTTGCCTTAAGATCGGAGTGCAAAGCTAGCCGCTCTAGTCAGCCATACAGGCCAGGCAGTGGTGGCACATGCCTTTAATCCCAGCAACCACACTGGTTAGCCTTAGAGGCTGCGTGGTGCTGGTGCATGCCTAGAATACCAGCACTAGAGAGGAATATCAGACAGGGTGCGACAGGAACTGGCTCTCTTTTCAGTCTGATGCTTTCATAGAGGTAAGAGCTTGCTAGTCGATGACTGCTTTGCTTCTCTGATCTTTCAGCTCAACTCCCAATATCTGTCTTTGGGATTTTATTATTTGTGCTACAGGACTGACACTGAGAAGTGGGGAGAGTGTGCTGAGTAGTGGGCTTAGGAAGTATAGAAGTTGGTAGAGAGGACACCTGAAGCCTGGGGACACCTGCTGTGCGGGAGTGTGCAGGTCATGAAGGGACCTGAGCCCCCTACCTTGTCTCAGGGAGAGAGGAGTAGAGACACAACCTGCTGATGCTCAGGCATAAAAGACCCTTGAAGACAGGCTGGACCTTATAGTTTTGTTTTTTTTTCTTTACCTTATATGTCTCCTCTTCCTTTTTCATGTTACAAAATTTTATAACCAAATCTCAGAAATAGCTCAGAAACATATGGTGTTCATCTAGTGTCTCTTATATAGCAATTGAATGTTGCTGACAAAATGTCTGTCTATATGTATCTATCTTTGGGTTTTAATTTTTTATTTTTGCATGTATGCACAGCCATGTCATGGCATATGTGTGGAGGTCCAAGGACAGCTTTCAGGAGTCATTTCCCCACCTTGTACAGTGAGGTCAGGGCTAGAACTCAAGTTATCAGGTCTATACAGAAAGTGCTGTCAGCAGCTGAGCCATGTCACTGTCCCAAGGAGTGCTTTGGGGGTCTTGTCATGTAGCGTTGGCTGGCCTGGAACTTGTTTTGTTCTGGACTGGACTCACACTTGTGGTAGATTCTCCTGTCAACCCTTTCCAGGTAGTGGACATGAATTCTAGAATGGAGAAGTATCCCATTAGGCAGCTCCAAAGCTCTTCCAGATGGCGCCCAAAGCACTAGGGAGAAATATAAGCTGGGAGAAGACAGGTTTCAGGTTCGGTCTCATTCTGAGGTTTCCTGGAGGCAGGATCACCATTTTCAGACTGAGGTCGAAGTAAGAGCCAGTGGCTGGCAGTTTTGCTTGTCTCGTCTTCAGGTTGAACCCCAATATCTGTCTCTGGGATTTTATCAATTGTGCTGTATCCAGAACCCTTTAAGGGTCTCGCCTTTCATCAACACTCTTCTGCCCAGAGATGCACAGGACTATGGAAACCACTTCACTGCTTAGCTAAGAGAATAGAAACGCTTTAATGGGAAAAGTTGGGAAGCTTGTCTATCATGCTCTTTGTACTAATGAATGTGCCATTTATTCCGCAGTCACGGAGGAAAAGCCTGAAAAGAAATTTAGTTCCACAAATAAATCTGGCTTCGTCCTTCTTTCCAACCATGCCCAAGTGAAGAGGAGCCTTGGAACTGGCTGTTGTACAGGAGGCCATGAAGTCTGGACAACATCTTCCCTCTGTACTTCCAGATGAGACACCACAAGATGGTTACACATCCCTCTACTTCAGGTCATCCCGGTAATGGATGTACTCAAGGGGTTCCACTGACCTTAGCCCTGACAACAAGCAAGCAACAGCTTGCAGCCAGTTTGACAACTTCTTTTTACACATGGAAAAACACCTAATGAATGGGCAATATTTCCTGTCATTGTCAACAAGATGGCACAAGGACACAAATGACATTGGTAGCATGAGTAGCCCCCAAATGCTTAGTGGTGCTTAGTTTTCACCTCGGCTTGTTGTTCACCCCATTCCATAACCAGAATTAGAATGTGTGCAGTAAGAGGAAAATTACATGTGTGTCCTGCTGTGTCTATACAAAGAGGATCATTATCGTTGTTTCTTTTTTTATTTGAAGTTGCACCTAGGGGCCTGACGAGCTAGGTGAGTCAGCTACATCAAGGGCTGTTTGGAGATAAGGTCTCACTAGGCTGAGCTAGGAGGTCTTGGATTTAAGGTTGCTCTGCTTCAGCCTTCAGATCTTTCAGGAAAATTATTATTCAAAAAGAAAAATATCCCTACCCAGCCTTTGACTGTCTGCTTCATTGAGGGAATGTCACCTGAGAATTCCCGGAATGAAGCTGTGACTACAAAAGCTGATTGGTTAATGAGAATGTCAGTGGCGTGGAGGGGCTGAAGAGTTAAGACCAGAGTCAAATTATCTTGAGGACATCTCTAGTTCCCTCAGTAGACATCTATTGCCCCCTCTATGCATGACTCAACGTCTATTGTAACCATTGGGTAAATCCTTTGGAATGTGTCAAAGAGGCCCTAGTTTCTGCCAATCAAAAGGCTAAAGATGCTGTCAGATAGCACCCAAGGCCTAAAAACTGTGACCTGCCTTCCTGATGTGCTGCCTTAATTACTGTTCTATTGCTGTGAAGAGAAACCATGACCGAGGCATTTCACTGAGGTCGAGTCTGCAGATGCAGAGGCTGTCTATTGTCATCATGGCAGGAAACAGGCAGGCATGGCAGTGGAACCATAGCTGAGAGCTTTGCATCCTGATCAGCAGGCAGCAAGCCAAGAGACACTAGGCCTGGTATGGGCTTTTGAAACCTAAAAGCCCACTCCTGTTGACTTACCTCCTCCAAAAAGGACACATCTACTCTGAGCCCACACCTCCTAATCCTTCCGAAAATTTCACCAGCTAGGGCTAAGCATGGAAATATATGAGCCTATGAGAGCCATTTTCACTCAGCACGTATACTTACCAATATATTTGAAAAGCAGGTTAAGTTTATGACTTTCTTTGCTCTGTTGCTATAAAAGTTCATGAAATTGCTGCCTTGTTGGAACATGGTATTTGAAGAAGCCTGATTGTGTTCCTCAGCCATGGTCACTTATATTTGACTCTGGAATAAACTCTTCTTTTCCTTTGAGGTGAGGACTGTGTCTTCTGTCAACAGATGAAGTGCCATGGGCTCTCCTCTTGGTGATAATGAAACCAAAACAACTACAGCCAACACATAAAGGAGTGGGAAAGATTTAGGGTGGGATCAGGCAAGGGGAAGCAAGGACTTCATCAAACTAAAGGATCATGGATATGTTATTTAGGTGGCCTATACATATTTACTAGGGTTGTCCCATCCCTGGGCAAACTATAAAAAACATTACATTCCTGAACATGCTTATTTTAAGGTTAAAAAAATCCAAGGAAAAATAACAAACAATTTTTAGCTCAAGGTCATGGAGCCACATGTTTGAAGGATTAAATTAAAATAGTGGCCAAACGCCTCTGGGCATGCTCAGCTTGTAGCATAACATTTTACCCAACATAAAGAATGAGACGTTTTGAAAACAGGCAGATAAAATCTGCTCTTCACAATGTCTGTCTCACTTAGCAGCTAACAGAATGTTAGTCAGTGGAGGTACATGTTTAAAAGAATATGAAAGCATCAAAATATGAGTGATAATGAATCTGATTTTAAACATAAAGCATGGAAAAAGTATCAGAAGTGAAACCTGAGAATTATCTAACCTGAACTTCTTCAGGCAATGATGTTGAGCCCTGAGTAATAAAAGTGTTGTCATGGTAACAACTGTTAGTCTACTTTCCCCAAAGCATCACTCCACCACTTGGTTAAAGCAAATAACGGGAAAAAAAATAGTCCTTTTTAAATTCCGAGTTCTCACTCTGTAGAGAATTGTGGAGTGGGGGATAAAGCAACAATGACAAAAATATGAACAAAATATACTTAATAAGTAAATAGAGTAGTTTAATTAAAAAGAAAGCTAGTAAAAACCCCTTTTCACCCTTAATGAGATTCCTCTCCAAGCAATGAAAGGAAGCCTCTACTTCCCTTTAGGGCTCCATCATGTTCGTATCTCCATACATCTAACTCCCAAATGAAGGCCTAGTGATGGCTTCAAGGCCCTTTCCCCTACTAAACTGCATCTTTCTGAAGGGAATGTGTCAGCTTCCTTTTCCCAAGCCAACCAGTGCTGCTATTTCATTATTATGTCCCTATTATCACATGTAACGACCCCAGAATTCAGGAAATTGTTAGTGTTTTGAGAGATAAATATTAGTGGAAAGCAATGCAATCTTATATACTTCATAGAAAAAAAAGCTAAACAAATTATAGACACAATCAAGTAAGACTGAAGGACATGGCATCCTTGTACAGTATACAGGTAGACGGATATCAGCTAGTGTCTGCAGAGAGCCAAAGAAGGGAAGGCTGGAAACAAAAGGCTCCCGACATAAAACAAATGCCAACCTAGTATTACCAATCACGAGAAAATATTATCCTTCAGAAAGGACAGCCAAATGTCAAATAAGGTTCTGACAAACAAAAATTGAGAGAATCAGCGGGAATAGACACAAGCTAAAGAGAATACTGAAGAGGATGCTTTAAGCAGAGGAAGATCGATGGGCCCTCGGAGAAGGAGGAAGGCGAAGAGTACCACAGCGGAAAACACATCACTAACACACGGGATGCCAACGGGGTGAAGCAGCAGCTGCAGTGATGAAAACAGGTCATAGAGTAAGGGTCTGGGGCTAGAGAGGCAGCTTCGTGGTTAAGAGCACATACTGCTCTTGCAGAGGACCCACATTTGGTTCCCAGGACACATGTGGGGTCACCTATCACTCCAGTTCCCGTGGCATCTGACACCCTTTACTGGCATTCATAGGAAATGCAGACATATGTAATAAACTCAAAACGCGCGCGCGCGCGCTCGCACACACACACACACACACACATACACACATTAAAAATAGAAAGGTAGAGGGATCATAATTTTTAAGGCTCTTAAATTTCCTGAAAGAAGGTAAGATTATCAATAATCATTTCAACTCTGGCATGGCAGTAGTGTATGGGATAATCTCTGTGGAAACTACTAGAAGAAACAGCAACAACACATGACCATGGACATGCCCAAGAGGAAACTGAGAATGATAGCAATCACTTGCTCTAAAAACTAAGAGATGAAAATAAACATAAAAGGATTGGATAAATAGAAAAAGCACACTGGCTGCCAGATCTCAGACTATTTTAGCTGGGTCTCCCCACACCCCTACCCTGAAATCAGGCCACACACCAGCAACCTGTCCTTTAGGACCAAGAACAGCCAGAACACTCAGACTGGAATGTGGGTCCAGAGAGAAGCCCAGTCCCTCCTCCTTTAAGCTATGAGTTTATAATTCTATCAAATGTCTGACTCTGTGCCTCTTGGCAAGTAATCCAGGCTAGACCACATGGTATGAAGCTTGCCTGCCTCCTGCTGGAACTTATCAAATGCCCTCTTTGTTCTGGGTATTTGAAATCTCTTTCCTCTGGTCCCCTGCTGGCATGCTTCACTGTACCCCCTCCCACCATACCATGCAAGGAAGTTTTCTCTCCTAATGAATTAATGAAACTCCTCTTCCAACCTAAAGACCCATTCTCCCCACTAAGGGCCCCATAGTCGAATAAAGCACTTACGAAGAGTGACCTCAGGTTAGCTTCTTTCTGCAATCCTACCACCCCTTTCTCAGTTATAACAGGGACATTTCAGATGTAAACCTAAATATACCAAGAATTATATAACTCTTAATAGACTGTATATTCAAACTGGTTTTCAGGATGCATAAAGAAAACAAACCCCAGATATAAAGTGTTTAAAGAAATATGTCTGTGGTTGTTTGGAAGTAGAAAGAGAATTATATGTATATTTTTTTAAAGATGAAGACTATCTAAAAGATGTTGTGGAAAATTTAGAAAACAAGTCAAAGATTAAGTTTTCTGATTTTAAAGACTGAAGATTTCTAAAAACTGAGTCTTTACTATGCCTGCTGTGTTTTAATTTTTAACTATTAGGATGTTATTTCTGATAAACACTAGTAATTTTTTTCTTTTGACATTTACTTAGTATGTGGAGAGGGATGCGTATATGTGCTGTTATGTACATTAATTAGTGTGTACCATGTTGCATTGTGGAGGTGAGAGCACCTTGCAGGAGTTGTATTACCCTTCTACCACAAGAGCTTTAGGAATGGAAATCAGGTCGTCAGTCTTGGAGGCAGTGATTAACCCATGTCTTCAGCCTCAGTGCTACTAAGGTTATAAATTTAAGATCAACAGAACATTTCATTTGAATAGATTCAATGTTTCTCAAATAAAAACTTCTACATCTGATCTTACATGACTGGTCAGTCATAAAATACACACACTAAATTGTAAAGCTACCTTCAGTCTTATTTGTATAAAATTTGTCTGAAATATGAATGAATTTTGACTTGGTTTCTATCCCTAAAATGTCTAATTGTATGTATACAAAAATTAAAATATCTGAAACACACACACACAAAAGAATTTCCCCCATCAGCTCAGATATTTGAAGAAAGATCCCCAGGTTTTGGTGCCATTTAAGGAGGTTGTAGACCCTCTTGGGTGTAGAGACTTGTGGGAGGAAGTTGTCCCTGGGTCTGTCTTTGAGCGTATAGAGACTCTCTCACTTCCTGGTTGCTCTCTGTTTCAGCTTCTGGTTAGACATATGACCTTTTGGGCCCCCCCCCTCCGCTACCTGCAGTTACCTTGCCTTCTACATGCTATGCATTCTCACCATGATGGACTCTCATCCTTCAGGAGCCATAAGCCCAAATAAACTCTTCTGTATGTTACCTTGATCACGATATTTTATCCCAGTCACAGATGAGTCACCAATACAGAGGCCCAGCTCAAGGGCTTCCAGGGAGTAACAGTACTAGCAACTGGGTGAGAGGCCACTCCTGTGATACCTCAGCAATGGCTCTAGCTGGCTCCTGCTCCTGCTCTGAGAACTTGTCAGAGGCTGAATTTGAATGGAATGAACATACTTTAGACAATGACACTAAATTATTCAATATAAAAGAATAGGAACAAATATATAAACTAACTTAAAGTAAGATAATGTTAATATATCACATATTAATATAATTATAGTAGTATATTAATAGATTGCATGCTAATACCACAGCACACATTAAGAAAATAAAGGAAGAATGGGTTTTCACAATAATTTCATTTATGGTGATTCAAGATTGGGGCCAAGTCTTTATCACCAAAAGAATGATCAAGCAATCTATACAGTGGGAGAATTTGCTCTAACAGAAGCAAATAATATATCAATGTTTGTGTGAACATGAATAACTCACTTTCAAGAGAACAGGTCACAGAAGCATTGGGGAGGAAAGGCTACATTCAGCATGAATCTGTTATGCTTTTTTTCTTAAACATGAAAAGCTAATCTTTAACCATTAATTAAAACAATGGTTTCCTCCACATGCTCCTAGTGATGAAACATGACAGATAGCAAGACTAAAAAATGAAGGGGACATGGGAAGACAAACATCTCAATCTAGAATCTAGCTGGGAGTGAAAAACTTTAACATGGTAGCACATGCTTTAAATCCCAGCACTCGGGAGGCAGAGGCAGGCAAATCTCTGTGAGTTTTAAGGTCAGTCTGATCTACATAGTGAATTCCAGCGAAGTTAGGGCTACACAGTGAGACCATGTCTCAAAAACAAAATAGCAAAAAAAAAAAGAAAGAAAGAAAAGAAAAAAGAAAGAAAAAGAAAAAAAAGAAAAAACCCATAACAACTGATTAGATTCAAGTTTTCTGCATCTGGAAAGAACTGTTTTCCTAAAGGCAACTCAAATAAGGATGTTACAAACAGGCTGTGCTTATGTAGGGACTCAAGTCTTATGGACTTAAGTTTAAGTGTATTAGCATTCTTTCTTGTCCCAAAATCTAAATAAGCAATGCACCTTATGGTGGCTTGAATGAAAACTATTCTCCTTAGGTTCCTGTATTTGAACTCTTGGTTCCCCCTTGGTGGTATTTTCAGGAAGGCTAATGGAGCCTTTAAGAGGTAGAGCTTTACTAGAGGAAGTAGTTACTGGGGACATTCTTTGG